AGCACGGTCACCTCGCGTGTTGTCATATGTGGAAACATAATGGTACCCGTTCGTATGGTCATCGTCAAAATAAATGATCCGTACACGATCATAATTCCGAAAGCCGAACACCTCCACCGCTGCAGAGTTCTTCGCCACCGCTATTTTCATAGCTTCGGAAGAATGTTGACCGGCAACCGGGTAATAGAAAAACTCATCTGCCCGTTCGGGGTCGAAATCCTCTGGAAGGACGGGGGTTTCTTGTTCGTCCGCGTCCTTTGATGGATTAATCAGAGCCAGCACCAACTCCGGTGGATCCCACGGAGCCGGATCATCCACGGACTGTGGGCGAGTTCATGCTTCGATTGCCGCTTCGATGCCTGCGACGATGGCCGGGTTCAGCGCTCGCTGGTTGAAGGTGATCTCTCCCACCGGAATCGAAAGAATCTGCATGAGGTCAATGACCACCCTAGGCGGGTCCTTTCTCTTTTCGTCGTCCTCGTCGTACTCGAGGAAGAAGCACTGTGTCATGTTGACCGCTTTGGGTTTCTTCGTCTCTGGTTCGTCGTCGTCAGGGATGGAGAGCAAACGAGGGGCCACCCCTTCACATCGTCGCTCGAGTCATCCGATTTCGGGTGCCTCGACGGCCGCACAGGCTTCCTGGGTTGCGACGTTTTGCGAACCCGAGCTTTGGATTTGGATTCCACACCGGCTTCACCAGGCGTACCAGCAGCTGCATCCAAGGTGAGCCGAGCGTCTTGCACAACTTTTCTTCGAGTCTGCTTCTTAGGCGCGGCTCGCTTCGGCGACGATTCCGCTGTGCGTTTTCCCCTCCTCTTCGAAGTAAGCTCCGCGGAAACATCGATATTCTGTCCTTCGTCTTTCATTTCCTCGTCTTCCATTTCCTCATCTTCCATCTCCTGGTCTTCCATCTCCGAACCACCCACATTACCACCGAGCACCCCGCCGCTTGCCGCTGCCTTTTGGCAATCCGTGTGGTCCTGCCCACCACCACATTCTCCTTCATTCTCATCGTCTTCTCCATCGCCCCTCGCCCGGGCTTCGTCACCTCTACTATCCTCCTGCTCTGCATTCACATCGCAAGAGCCTTCGCCCTGGGTGAACCTTCGCGTGGCTAGTGACTGGGATTGCAATCGGCGAATCCGTTCATCGTCCTCCGTCTTCTCGCTTGACTCCTCGTCCATTCGACGTTGGGAGGTGTCCCGCGAGCGCGAGCTTCTACCGGCATGCGAGCTTCCCGAAAGACTGGAAGGTGGTTTGTCGAGCACCTTCTTCTTCGGAACGTTTCCCGATGACCCACCGCTCGGACGCCTCTGGTAAGTAATGAGTTTCTCCTTCGCGGACACAGATGGCTGCGGAGTCGAGACATCCTACCTCCGATTGCTAGAGCACGCTGGCAAGCCTGCGAGACTTTCTCCTGGAGCGTCGAACGACACAAGAGGCAACGAGAGCTGGTAACCAGCGGAGACCGTCGAGTATTGACCACTTCTCCTATACCCATTGGTCTTGGTGAGGAATTCAATGGGTAAGAGCATCCTCGAAGCATTCCCGTCCCGCTTGCTGCTGAAGGCTTTCATACCGAATGTCTTCTGACCATACCCCTTGAACAGAGCAATGTCAAGGCTGACCTTGTGGTCAGTCCTGACCCAGTTCGTACCCTGCTCATCGTGCACCGAAGTGAGGAAGAATTTCCTCAAATCTCGGTCGTCGACCTTACCCTTGTCCGCCGTGGCCTTGTCAACCTCAGACCTGATGATGCCACCACAACAATACCAGGTCATCCCTTCGTCCTCCATCAAGAATACAACAGCACCGCACCCGGGCTCGCCGGGCACTCCGACCCAGTCGAGAGCCCACAGCTTGTCGCGGTACAGTTTTGACCTGTTGTTGTACCTCTTATCCTCATCTTCAGGACACCTTCGACCTTTCGCTGGAGGAGATATCAAAAAGAAAAAGAACGACGGATGCATCAATGACACCTATCTCTATCTTCCACATCACGAGATGGAAAAACCCAAAATACAAAAGCAATTCCACGCCACATGCCGACGGCAGACCTATCTCTACCTCACACTATGGGCAGCAACCGCATGTGTCGACCCTGGGGATCGCGGGGGTCCTGCGTTTGCCAAACGCA